CCCCAAAACCCCAAAACCCCAAAACCCCAAAACCCCAGGAGTGATGATTATGAGAATTATACGAAATTATTTAAAATAGTTAAATTCATATTATTGGAGATTATAAAATGGATCTCGACGATTTACTCGAAGAATTTAAGGATGACAAAAGAAACCTAAACAACTCAAATCATTTAAATAATAACTGGAACATCTCAGCCATTTCATCAACATAAAGTAAGGGTTTCAATACAAAAGCTGGATAAAATAAAAATGAGGGGCAGTCATCATGGGATATTGATTCATCAGGTGTCGATTCCTTCCTATAGAATTTTCCTGCTTCTAACAGTTAGAGTAAAAATAACTATCAATAATCTAAGGTAATTAATCAGCAATTCTTAAACATCAGTATACTTACATGCTTATATAGAATGGCAATGGTGCAAACAAAGGATCAATTTTAGATGATGACTTGGATGATCTTATAAATGATATTGATGGTGGTGATACAGGTGATTCAGGGAGCACATCAAATATAAACAAAAAATAATAGCCAACATCTTTTAGTTACGAAATCCCACCAGCAAAATAAAGCGTGTAAAATGTTTCTTTAGGCGGGAAGTGCTATCCTCTATTAATGGGAGGTTCATCTCTATTGGATGGACAAACATTGAACAGCTTAAATCCTAGAAGTTGCGATAAACTTAGATGCTATCATTGTGATAAAAAAGTACATAGATTTACAAACGTAAGATGGAAGACAACTGTAGACTATCTTTTTGTTAGAAATCATAACACAAATCCTAAGGAACTAGTTAAAGTAAGTCTTTTATAGTTATACCTTTACTTTCAATGATTTATAATACTAATGATGAGGATATTTATATTTTTAGGGACTAGATCCTAGTCCTGGATTTGCAGCCTATGCTTGCTAGTGCAAATGGAAATCACTAAATGAGAATACGACCACCGAAGCTGAATAACTAAATTGGGGTTGCGGAGGACACTGATTTAGAATCATAGTGTTTGCTTGTTTAATCAATCAACTAAACTAGACCAGACTTAAAATTATTTCGTATATTAGACTCTTATCTTATAATTCTTAAAACAATTAAAAACATGCTATTTTACATAATTTATAGATTGCATTGGGGTTTTGGGGTTTTGGGG